TCACATCCAGATCTATCAGAATCTGGAAGAGACCAATGAGGGGGGTCTATCGCTGCAGGCTTCCAGCTCACTTCCATGGGCTGGATGGGCAGGCAGGCTCAGCCAGAGGCAAAGGTCATAGCAAACATGTCCCACCCCCCCCTCCTGCCCAACAAGCCAACCAACTCCCTGAGAGCCAGGAAAGGTTATGCAGAACCCTCTGCAGGTGGAGTGAGATGTCTCTCAGTGGCACTCAAGGTTTTCTCTCGCTAGGCAGTGGGAGAGATGAAGATGAGGACTGGGCGCGTGTGACCTTCCATGAGTCATCTTCCCTAGGACACCATGCACTGTACACCGGGACTCTTCCCTTGCTTCTGGAATCTGTTGGAGTGGGCCCAGGGAAGGAAGGGCCCAGTGCCTGACCCCAGGCCTTACAGTCCTCTATTCAGTCCATGATTAGAACTGCTCGGGCTAGAGTCATCATCATCCAGGGAGAGAATCCCTTGCAGCCACAGATTTGCTGACAAAATTTATGAATTCATCATTAGCTCTGCAGAGACAATGAGGCTATTCTTGCTGGCACTCGGGGATGGATGCATGTGCTGTGCATGCTGACAAACATCCTTTACAGTTTATAAATATCACAGCACGTGCTCCCTCCTCCAGTGGAATAAATCCGGTTCGCCTGCTGCAGACACGGCGCAATTTCATCAGATAATTGCTACTGGAAAAAGAGCTCTGTGTGTGCTCATACATCTGGCCGTCACCACCGTGGAACTTTTCCATAAAATGTATACTCACACTGGAGGCTGGCAGATTCACTTGGCTAGAAAGCTGAGTTCAAATAAAGCTACACAATGCTGCAGGGACCAAATGTTCTGTTCATTGATTTTTTTTTAATGCAATAAAGTCCCTCTGTACACACACACACACACACATGCAGTTACTTCTTCTCTTTGTCTTCCTTATCAAGAAAGGAAGACCTCATGAAGTGTTTGTAGAATATACTTGAAGCCTTTTTATATCCTCACAACCATGACCTTATTGTTTCCTCCTTTTTCAACCTCAGGACGCTGAGGCTGAGAGAGGTGAAGTGGCTTCCCCAAGTGCATTCAGAGAGAAACAACAGGTCTGGGATGCAAACAGAAGGTATTCTGACTCCAGGTCCACTACCTTTTCCCATCTTCACATCCATTGCATCTCAGTGATGTTTTCTGTTTTCGCAAAACATTTATAATACACTTAAAAGTTGTTCCAACATTAAATGTGATTCGTCTATTCTAGATTTGTATATTTTGTCACATGATGGTATCTCATCAATTACCTTTCTACTGACACCTTTAAATGTCTTGACGGTCAAATTGTTTTTTATTTTATGCATATAGGACAATCAGACAGAAAAATACCTGGTCCTGCATGCTTACCACTGAGATAAGCCAAAAGGAAGTCTTGCATTGTAACACATGGAAGACCATCTGTGGAGTGCACACTATATTCCAGGCTCTGCACCAGATATGTAATATAGATTAGCCAATGTAATCCTTACACTATCCCTATATGAAGGTCAGTATCAACTCATATACACATAAGAAGACTGAGGCTTAGAGAGTTTAAATGCAGACTTTATCCCAACCAATAAGATGCATTTATATTAACACACTGTTAAAATGAAGATTTCTTAGTAGCTGTGTAACTTTGGTGTAGTAGGCTGAATATCAAGCCCCAATTCCTAGAACCTGGGAGTGTTACCTTTTATGACAAAAGGGACTTTGCAGACGTAACCAAATTGGGGATCTTGATATGGGAAGATCACCCTGGGTTATCCAAGTGGCTCCTAAATATAATCACAAGTGTCCTTATAAGAGTGAGGAAGAGAGAAGTGTGACACAGAAGAGGAGAAGGCGCATTGGAATGATGCACCCACAAGCTAAGGAATGCAGACAGCCATCAGAACTGAAAGAGGCACCCAATGGATTTTCCCCTTTCCCATCCCACTAGCCTCTTAAAGGAACTAGCCCTGGAACATCTTATTTTTAGCCCCCCGAGACTCCATTCAAACTTCTATCCTCCAGAGCTGTGAGGGGATAAATTTCTGTTATTTTAAGCCACCATGTTTTGGATAACTTGTCACAACAGCCCTAGGAAACTAATACTTGTAGGAAGGAACCCACCATCTCATGTAGTGAGAATGAAAATTGACCAGAAGATCCTGAGATGGCAGCGTAGGTAAATGTCTATACTTGCCACCTCCCACAACCACATCAAAATTACAACTAAAATACAGAATAACCATCATCCAGCACTGCTAAAAAGCTGACTGAATGGAAGCCCTATCACTAGAGAAGTAAAGAAGAAAGCGCACAGAGACTGGTAGGAGGTGCAGAGGCGCAGCAGAGGAGGCTGGTCCAGCACCCACATGTGCTGCCTTTTTAATTGAGAGGGAGATCATCTCTGCAAAGGCCACCCAGAGGAGCAAGGGGTCCCAGCCTCACACCAGACCCCCCAGCCCAGGGTCCCAGAGCTGGTAAAAGATGTCCCTACAGGCAGTAAGAACGATGGGCTGTAAAAGCCAGTGCAAATTGGGGCTCAGTGACATGCAGGCTGCTGGAGACCCAGCTATTCCTCTTAAAAGGCCAGCACCACAAACTGAACTTACAAACCCCGCTTCCTCTGAGCACCAGCACCGGGGTGAGACTCTGGGGAAAACAGACACATATAAGGAGGAACTGGATTATCTGGCAGCAGGGCAGGAACTCGGGGGCAGAAGACGGAAGTGCTTACAGAAATCATTGTTCCTATGCTGGGACCTCCCCAGTCAGTTGCAGGGCTGACTGTCAATCATGTCTGTTTGCTGTGCCCCATTGATTCCCTAAGACCCCACCTCATCCAATTTACAACCCCACCCAAGCTGTGTGCAGCAACTTTTGCATATGAATGTCCTGTCCTTGCTCAGGCTGCAGCTGGGTCAGGGAGCCCCAAACCTATCCATAAAAGGCTCAAGACCTGGCACCAGCACCAACCTGCTTTGCTTCATAGTTGGGCCTCATCTGGGCACTTCCAAACCTGATACAAAGAAGAGGAATCTGCAGATCTCTCTGTAGCTCCTACTGGGTAGCCCAGGCAGTGGCTGACTTTGCACCTCCCTGGAGACCCAAGAGCCAGTGTACCCAGTGATCAATGTCACACCATACCAGATTACAACTCTACACATCCATAAGCAACACACAGACTCAGTGAGCACCAAAGTCCCACTTAAGCAAGTCCTGCTCCATAGAGGTGTCTCCTGCACAGCAGCTCTCCCATTGTAGTCACAGCTCATCCTCACAGTCAATTGGCCTGGAGGTCAATTCCTCCTAGTGATAGCAACAGCAATCAAGTCTCAACTACAACAAGACTATGCTCAGAGACCACAAAGGGGTGCACCTAGAATGCCCAGCTCAGGTGACTGGGGAGGCTGAGCCTCTGGGCCATATAGAACACCAAGTACACAAGGCCACTCTACCAACCAAGGAGACATAGCAGCTCTACCCAATACATAGAAACAAACTCAGCCAAAATGCAGACAAAGAAACATGTCACAAATGAAAGAAACAGAAGAAAGCAAACTACTGGATATAGAGTTCAAAACCATGGTTATAAGGTTACTTAAGAATCTTCTTAGAAACCTCCAAAAAAAATTGAAAAGGACCAGTAAGAAATTAAGCATACACTGACTGAAATAAAGAATAACATACAGGGATTCAACAGTAGAGTAGAGGATTCTGATAATCAAATCAATGATTTGAAATATGAGGAAGCAAAAAAACACCCAACCAGAAGAGCAAACAGAAAAAAAAATATAAAGATAGCATAAGGAGCCTCTGGGACAGCTTGGAGCATACCAACATTCACATTATGGGGGTGCCAGAAGAAGAGAGAGAGCAAGATATCGAAAACCTATTTGAAGAAATAATGACAGAAAACTTCTCCTACCTGTTGAAAGAAATAGACTTACAAGTCCAGGAAGCACAGAGAGTCCCAAGCAAAAGGAACCCGAAGAGGATCACACCAAGACACAGCATCATTAAAATGCCAATGGGCTAAAGATAAAGAGAGAATATTAAAAGCAGCAAGAGGAAAACAATTAGTTGCCTACAAGGAAATGCCCATATGACTGTCAGCTGATTTCTCAACAGAAACTATGCAGGCCAGAAGGGAGTGGCCAGAAATATTCAAAGTGATGAATAGCAAGGACCTACAACCAAGATTATTCTACCCAGCAAAGCTATCATTTAGAATTGAAGGTCAGATAAAGAGCTTCACAGACAAGAAAAAGCTAAAGGAGTTCATCACCATCAAACCTGTATTATATGAAATGTTGAAGGGTATTCTTTAAGAAGAGGAAGAAGAAGAAAAAGATCAAAAATATGAACAACAAAATGACAACAAATACATACCTATCAATAACTGAATCTAAAAATAAATAAGAAATATAATGAACAGAATAAACTGGTGAATAAAATAGAATCAGTGGAAATGGAACAGACTGAGGATTCTCAGAGGGAGGGAGGTGGAGAGCAGGAAAAGATTAACCAAAGATCTTATATGCATTACCTATGGACACAGACAATAGGGTGGCGAAGGCCTGGGGCAGGAAGGGAACTGGGTGGAGGGGGGCAATGGGGGGAAAAAAGAGGGGCATCTGTAATAATCTTAACAATAAATATTTCTTAAAAAGAAAGAAAATAGGTGAGCTGCATGGATTGCAGGAAAGTAAGAGTGGCATAACACAAGACACTGCAGTTCTTTGTCCCTAGAGCCCTGATGACACTTCTGAGTCTCTGACGGGAGATCACGGTGGGAACTGAGGTGAGAAAGTTCTAGGGAGTGATTGCCAGGTGGCCAAACCCAGAAGGAAGACACTAATCCACACACTGCTGAGTGCTCTGGCAAGCCACCGCCAGGAATCAATACCTGATAACACCACTATATGCTCCAACCACAACCGCCCACAGTAGAAGGGTCTAGGTTTGGAAGCTCACCTTCAGAACCCACAAGATTCCTAGATTCTTATAGAACCACAGCTCTCCCACTGCATCTGCCGCTGGGCCAAGGAAGGGTCAGAGCCTGTTCCAGTTGTCAAGAACATCCTAGAAAACACTGCTCTAAACAAACAAGTCTGTGCTGTGGATCAGGAGAGCAAAGGTACCTAAGTCAGCATTTTCCCCTTTTGACTCGCGTACTGGAAAAGTCAAAGTCTGACAGAGTTTGTTGCACTTGTCTTCAGATGATGTCTGTCCTGAAATGGCCTTAAACCCACTCCGAGCACAGCAGAGCTGGAGGCAGTGCCATGCTGTGGTCAAGGCCTGGGCTCTGGAATCGCTCCAGGTCTCAGCCCAATTCCATCCATCACTGTGTGACCATAAGCAAGCCCCTCTTCCTGTGACCCTCGGTTTCCTCATCTTAAAATGGAGACAGTAATAAACCCTTGGTCCTGGGAATAGTGTAAGGAATAAATAAATGAGATTATATAGGTAAAGCTCTTACATAGTAGCTCACTGTTATTGCTGTTGCTGTTATTACTACTTTATTATTTTTTATATTTTTTTATTGATTTCAGAGAAGATGGGAGAGGCAGCGAGAGATAGAAACATCAATGATGAGAAAGAATCATTGTTTGGCTGCCTCCTGCACATCCCCTACTGGGGATCAAGCCCACATTCTGGGCATGTGCCCTTGACCAGAATCGAACCCGGGACCCTTCAGTTGCAGGCCGATGCTCTATCCACTGAGCCAAACCAGCTAGGGCACTACTTTATTTATTACTACCATTACTGTTATTATTACTACATAAGCAGTCTTAGTTACTTCACTAGTAACTGAAGTCTTTAATAAAAACAGATCCCAATTCTATTGCTTTGCTTCAAAACGATATTTCTGCCAACATCGAAGGCATTCGTGGGGAAAGAAATGCTTCTTTTAATGGGCAAAGGGATGACACTCATACAAGTAATAAGCCTCCAGATTCAAAAGTGACAATAAACCCTGTTCAGTTATTTCCACCTCAGAAGTCCCGGAAACATTAAGAGGAGTGATGAGTCGGGTACCTTCATCAGATAACCTACAGACAACGTCCTTTCAATGAGATCCATCTGCAAACATAAAAAGGTGGATAAGAAATCCATGTGGCTCTTCCGTCCTAAAGATCTCAGGCAAAGAACCCAGCCTGACAGGGTCACCGGACAGCTCCGAAATGGAGGCTTCAGCTGAATTCTCTCCGCATGGGATGGAATTGCTATCACTGCCCTGGAAATGAGTCTGTATGTCGTCTTCTGTTATGAGGAGTTTCTACATAAGATGCAGACATTACTGTCTCTAGAGCTATTTTTAAATGTTGGCTCATTCTGTAGGTACTGGCATAGCCTTTTCCAGTGACTTAAGCTTCACTCCTCTGGGCGTAGTGAATCACATGTGTGTGTTTGTACATTTCTTTCTTCCAGTAACTGAATGCATCTCTGCCTGTGAGTGTGGAGGTTTACTCTGCTCTGCACAATTTTCAGGTGACGAGATTTTATCTTAGCAGTCGAATATACTGGAAACATATCTGTAGGGGCCCATGTTTCATTCACAGAGGCTAACTTGACTATGTCCTAAACATGGTCGTGTTTAGCCAGTTTACACTGGACAGTGTGCTTTATCATGGACACTGTCTTCTACCTGCTGACCACCATCAAGCAGAGCCTCTTGAACCAAAACATAACTAGCCCGCCTAACTGGCATGACTCAGTGGTTGAGCGTCGACCTATGAACCAGGAGGTCCAGGTTTGATTCCTGGTCAGGGCACATGCCTGGGTTGTGGAATCGATCCCCAGTGTAGGGTATACAGGAGGCAGCCGATCAATGATTCTCTCTCATCATTGATGTTTCTATCTCTCTCTCTCTCCCTCCCTCTCTGAAATAAAATTAAAAAAAAAAAAACTGGCCCATTGTTGATGTATATCCAAAACTCAAAAACAAACAGAAAGGACTCTCGGGCCTCCAAACAGAGCATTTCCCTCCAAGCCAGTTTTGAGCATATTGAAATGTACTCATTTGACATATAAACATACAACCAAGACATTCTCCGTACTGAATTAGGCAGTTTATTAGGCTCCTAATTTCCATGTCTAGAATGTGAACATGGATTTACATGCATTGTCTCATGTTGTGGATCTTACATGCATGTAGCCTTCAGTCAGCTGGGCCTCTGATTCTACTTGTCAGTAATTGATAGCTCAATGTGAGTAGATGACAAACACAGCATGATACATAAGCCGTAGCAACAAATCCCACCCAATCCCACGTATCTTCTTTTTTTTTCCAAAAGCATATCACAACTCCTTCTTGTAAAAATAAATTTCGGAACAAGGCATTTAATTCACTTCACTGAGAAAAATAAAGACGATTCTATCATTTCGGAGCAATGAATGTCCAACTATGGCTGAAAGGTACGCCCTGAGAAGTAAATGATTTTAACGAACCCATTGAGGTTTATAAAGCTGTGTTAACCTATCGTCGCGAAGGGACACAAGATACAGGCACAAACGTCCCTGCTCATTTGGCTGTGCAATTCTCCAAGGACACCATGTTATAAACGTCCTCCTCATCTTCAATGCTTGAGGCATCTGTGGAGTCAGGATCGCCCACCACAATTCCCACAGGAGAGAGACTGCTAATGAAGGCGTGCATCCGCTGGGCGTACATGTCCCTAATGTTGAAGTAAGGGAGCTCATGACCCTTCTCTGCCGGGTCCTCACTGCACGGGTCCACGTCAATGTCCTTTTGCTTCTGGTAGTACTTGGAGAATTTGTTGAAGATAATGGTGATGGGCAGGGCCACCACCAAGATGCCGCAGATGATGCACGTGCTGGCGATAAGCTTCCCAGGCACGGTGACGGGGTGGGTGTCTCCATAGCCCACAGTCGTCATGCTGATGGTGGCCCACCACCAGCAGATGGGGATGCTGGTGAGGCTGGACGTGTCGTCATCTTTCTCCACTGAGTAGATGAGCACAGAAAAGATGGAAATGCCCACTGAGAGGAAGAGGAGCAGCAGCCCGACTTCATGGTAGCTGTGCCTCAGCGTGGCACCTAGAGACCGAAGCCCTACTGAGTGCCGGGCAAGCTTGAGAATTCGGAAAATCCTCATCAGCCTGAGGATCTGGACCACCTTGCCCATGTTCTCGATGTCCTCGCTCTCTTCCTCCTTGGTGTCTACAGCCAACGTGGCATAGAAGGGAATGATGGACACAAAGTCGATTATGTTCAGAGGGTGTTTCCAGAATTTCTTTTGACAGGGAGCAGCCATGAGCCGGATGGCAAGCTCGCTGGTGAACCAAGCGATGCACGCGATCTCCACCCCTTCCAGCACCGGGTCATCCACGTCGCCATCCTCGTTCTGGAACTCGGACATGCTGTGGATACACATGGCCACAATGGAGGCCAGCACCACGCTCAGGGAAGAGATGGCAATGAGCTTGGCAGACAGGCAGGAGGCTGGGTTTTCCATGCGAATCCAGATCTTCTTGCGGAGCTGGCCAAATCGCAGCTTGTCAAACTTCTCCAGCTCCTTCTCGAACAGAGACGACTCTTCGAAGGAGGAGTCGGTACTCACATCGTTGCTTTTCTGGTCCCAGTCCTTCTCGTGGGTCTCCTCCTTGCGCTCCTGGTAGCGGTTGCTGCAGCAGGAGTCGATGAAGAGCTCGTTGATGCCCCAGTACTCGATCTCCTGGCAGAAGGAGAACACGCACAGCTCCTCCATGACGTGCAGCTTCCCCGTGTAATAAAAATTCAACACATATTGGAACAAGGAGGGGTTCCGATCGAAATAGTACTCTTTGTCGGCCACGCTGTAGTCATCACACAGCTCCAGGATGGCCTCTTCCGAGTGGCAGGTGAGCAGCTTTCCAAGTCTGGTGTGTGGAAAGCGCAGGAGGGTGCTCTGGTCCACGGACTGCTTAAAGCCCCCCACGTTCAAGTTGACAAGTTCCTCGTCTGGTCCAGGGCGATGGAAGAACTCACCAAAAACCATGGTGGATACAGGAGGCAGAGAGCTGGCTGGGCAGGGAGACGAGGCAGGTCACGCTGCACCTGGAAGGAGCACAAGACGGCATTAGTGCTGCTCCTCAGGCCTGGCCACGCCTATTTATAACCTGCCCTTTCTAGGATGAGCCACATTAAAGGCCCAAAGACTATGGTTCATAAATCCATATTTTAGGAAAAAGAAAAGATGGCCATATCCTTTTTATGAACACCAATTCTTATTTCTCTACTAAAAAAGTGTACCTTCCACCCTCCCCCATAAAAGCAATGCATTTTGGATCACTTACACGATACAAGCATATCCAGTCTCAACCAGGAGGCGCCGCGTTTGGGAATGCTCAGTGCTGATGGGATAGGCTAGTGCCGTCCAGCTTGTAGCTCATCGCTCCTGGTCCCCGGGGCTCTGTCACGCACCCTCAGAAACAGCTCCCTCCTCCGCTCGGCACCTTGCCCCCAACCCACACCTCACTGGGGGCTCAGCTCAGCTCTCAGCAAAGAAGTAGGCTTCCCCTTCTGTTCCAATGGCTCACTCCTTGAAGAGAAAGCCCTGTTCTCTATGCTTGGAGTGGACAATCAAGAGGATATCATTATCTCCCTGTCCTTAAGTACCCTATATCTTAAAGGTATCGTTACACTGCATGGGATGGTGTTTCAGGTGTACCCACCCGGGAAGAAACCTTTTTAAGTTAATTGCACTATCAATTTCCTGACACAAACACTCTCCTACCTCCTCTGTCCCCTCATAGACCATCTCCCACACACTCCCAGTCTATGGCACCCAAGTCTGTACTGGCCCAGTACATACAGCCTGTTTTTAGTCCTGACACTATCCAAGATGGACCGGACCCATTTCTCAGAGAGAAAATAATAGATTTTGAGCATCATCCAATACAATGATGCTTCCTCAGAACAGATGATGCAGACAAAACAGAGACAGGAGATTGTCATATGAGCTGAGCAACAGGGGAAAAGGGAATTCTTGACACCAGGCACCAAAGTGTATGCAAAAGCCACTTTGTACATAGGTAAGTCCTCACTTAATGTTGTTGACAGGTTCTGTAACATTAAGTGAAATAACATATAACAAAACCAATTTTACCACAGGCTAAATTGATAGAAGTGAGAGTTAAGTTCCCACGGCACCTGATCAAAGCAGTAACAAAATGACATTGAACGAAATGATGCTGTACAACCATCTAAAGATCTGTAGGCAAGACCACCAAACAATCTTAATCAGTGAGTGGACATGCTTGTATTTGTGACTGTGACGTAGAAAGACCCCGCTGTCTCAGGGTGGAAGATTGCGGGAGACAGGCTGGGGCCAAGGAACCAGGACTGTAAGAGAACAGGAATGAGGTGAGAGGACCCAAACTCAGACAGCAGTGGTGTGTAAAAGAGGAAGTGACAAATTAAAGTGAAGTTTATAGAACTGACAGTTCTTGGTGATTGACTGGAAAGAAGGGACAAGGAAGCTGAAAGGCTAAAGGAGGGTGTGCTTTCTACACGACATAAGTGAGTGGATGGTGACACCATC